GATCTAAGTGAGAGGGTGGTTTTTGGTAATTTTTAGGAATTCCGGCCACCGTGTATGGTGGTCGGAGAGGTGGTTGGACGGAATCCGACGATGACTTGTGGTGGCCGGCCGAGCCACTTTCGTTGAGTTCCTCCCTAACTCTCTATGTTTTTTTGTGAAGTCTTGATGAAAATGAAAAAAAAACTAAATGAATGGTATTTATAGATGAAGTTTAGGGGTTAATTACATCATAAATCACTTATATTTGTGTGTGTTTTACATGTTGGTCCCTTAAGGGACTGTTTCTGTAATTTTCATTTTTAGGCTGATTATTATTTTTTAGGAATATTTTATTTATAGCCCTCTGTATTTTGATATATTTATATTTTGAGCACCAAAATATGTTTTCAGATCTTTTAATTCGGCCATAGAGTTTTAATTAATTTAAATTTAGCCCTATGTTTTATTTATTTTCATTATTTGCAATTTTAGCCTTTAATATTGAAATTGTTTATTTTTAATCACTTGTTTATTTGGTTTTATTTTAACTTTTGTATGAAATTTGATTTGTGATTTAGTCATATTTTTAAGTTTATTTATAATTTTTTGCATGTTGCTTTATTTTAGTTCATTTTAGTCTTAATTAATTTCGTATGATATCCTCATGAGCATTACTTGACTTGAATTAAAATAAATTGACTAAGGATAATATTCGAGCATTTTAATATTGTCGTAAAGTGACTGTCTTAACGTATAAGAAAGTTACTTTCGATAATTTTAAAATGAAAGTCTATCCTATAAGTGAGACCAATTAAAATATATTCATTTTTAAAATTTGGGGACTGAGGAAAAGATGATATTCTTTTAATTAAATTCATCGAGAAAAGATAATTAGATCGAACCTATGGTCTCGTCTCGAGATATTTAATTAATTGAATACCCTTATTCTCATTAAATATTGGTAAATAAATAATTAATCAATTGATTGATAGTTTTTTTTACTTTTGCATGTGTTTTTGAAGGTTTTCAAAATAATAATGTTCGATCATAAGTAATTAAATATTATTATTTTATCTCTAAAAATTATTTTGGGTGTTATTATTTTGAAATTTAGAATGAAGTTTTAATATTTTTTTATTTCGATTGGAGTAAGAATCGATTGTTTCAAGGTATGATAGATCATTTCTTCTCGATAGGAAATAATTAAATATTATTATCTTTCATCCAAAATTTTGAAAAAATGTTATTTTAGGGGATCATAAATCAAATTAATTTTGAACTTGTACATTTTATTACAAAGACAATTAATTAATGACTAGGTACCGATTTAGGGCGCTGTGGGGTGCTAATCCTTCCCCACGTGTAACAGACTACCGAACTCATTTTCTGGTAACGCGGGCCTAAATTTGTTGTTTTAATTAAAATTAATTTTTATTTAAAATGACAAAACGTTTTTGGGTGCCCAATCACACCCTAATCAAAGATTGGTGGCGACTCATTGAACCGTATTTTTATCATAAAGGAATTTCCAAATTTTCGAAACGAGAGGTTTTTTAATCACATTCACTTTTAATTTAAATTTAATCTTAAGAGAATAATTAAAAATTGGTGTGGTTTTTAAAATCTCACTCCGGGAAAAAACATTTTCGACAGCTTGGCGACTCCATTGGGGACATAATTTTTAGAGAGTCAGGCCAATAATTGATTAATTAATTGTCTTTGCAAATAAAACATACAAGTTCGTTCTAATTTTTGTTTTTGATCTCTTGTTTTGTTTTAAATAAGTCTAATTTGGTTTTTGATCCCTTGTTTTGTTTTAAATTAGTTTTATTTGCATTTTGACTCTTAATTTGCTTAGCCACTAAATAGTTGTACTGATCTGTTTGTTAATGCTGTCAGATTAAATAATTATTCAGGGTCTCGAGTTTTATGTTTATTGTTGTTTGCTTTGTTTCACTTTTCCTCACACACTGCACAACTGCATTTGCATAACATGAGCTAAAACCCCGCTCCGTCCTATTTAAGTAGGAGTAAGTAACTACTCCCTCGTGTGGTTTTCATCTCCGTGCGGGACAGTGAAACGCTCCTTGGGCTCACGCCTTATGATCCTTGTGAGGTTTTCACCTCCGCAATGACATAAGGAAGTTTGTCCCCTCAAATTGAACTCGATCCAAAAGCCTGTGATGGGCTAGGATTGAGGGTTCGGTAGCCCAAGGGGGCACCGACAAAGGACAATTCGAGGACTCCTTACTTTAGAACCGAACCCAACATGTAGTAAACTTAGAACCCAGATACAACCTTACCCATACTATATGGTCTGATGAGGAGAGTATAAAAGGAAAAGCTTATTTGGGCATTCTTTAGTGACATTTTAAATTCTATGTGAACTAGAAATCATGCGGTTAGATTTAATTTCTTAGATAAGCATGCAAACTAGACAGCATGAGGTTAGGATGTTTTATAAACAAAGTATATGGGTAGAAATCATGACTGGGTAGGATCTACTAAAGCATGATTGGGTAGCTAACATATGAGCTAGGTTTTATCGATAAATTGAATTATGTTTAGTCAATTCATTTATGATTACTGACCGATTTTCTTTCTTTTTGTTTACTTTATCCTCATCTTGCATTGCACTATTCATTTCATTTGTTTGATCCATGACTGATGTCCATATAGAAGACTAGTATTATGGAACGAATGATTCAAAAAGTAGAGGACAATGCAGACGTCTTGATATGGTCTGAGCAGTCTCAACTAACAAATGGAGATAATTTATCACCAGGGTATATCAGAGCTGAGAGGGTATACTCACATCAACGTTTGTCGGAATGATCTGAACGAACTGAAAGAGATTTGGGGAAGATGGGAAGCGTCCGATAAGCAGTTGTTCTATCAACTCCATGGTGACATTTCATATCTCATTGATATTCCGGTTGATCAAAATTTGTTTAGAGCTCTGGCTCAGTTTTGGAATCCGTATATAGTTGTTTTATATTTGGCCGAGTAGACATGACGCCTACTATAGAGGAGTATCGTGCCTTGATTCGCTGTCCGAGGTTCCAGGTAGAAAAAGTATACACCAAACCCCCAAATACTCCTTCTTTTAAGCAGAAACTTATTATGATGACTGGCATGAGCGAAGAATGGGTTATGAGAGGTATAAAAAAGAAAGGAGACCACGAATGCATTACTTAGACCCTTCTGAGAGATTTGATTGATTGTCATCCTGATCGAAGAAAAAAGATTGACTTCTTTGCTCTAGGTATCTATGGATTGGTCATTTTCCCGAGAGTTTTGGGACATATTGATGTATCAGTGGTTGACATGTTTGAAAGACTGGATAGACATGTGGATCCTGTTCCAGCTATTCTGGCAGAAATATTTCGTTCCCTGAGCTCTTGCCGAAGAGAAGGGGAATGATGATTCATAAGTTGTGCACCATTGTTGCTAACCTGGATCCTTAGTCATTTCAAACACGTCGAGAGAGCACCTGGTTGGGTCTTCTTAGATGGTTTTTCACTGTTGAAGGATTTTATTTCTCGGCAGTGGCCTGGGGGTTTTACTGAGGAAAAGTGGATGATCATTTTCAAAAGTATCCGAGACAGTGACATTTTATGGCGTACCTTATGGAATATCTCATCCGACATATTGTATCGATGTGGAGACAGAGATTGGGTTTCATTACCTGGTATTTGGGGATCTGTAGGGTATGCCTCATTACTGGTTTCCCGACAATTTGGGTCGAGACAGTTTATTCCGACAACAAGGGAGTTATCTAAGTTTGAGTTCGCATTCAGGGGAGAACTGTATAAGAATAAAATTAAAGGGGTCACTGATGCTTGGAGACACGCCCATCGGGTAAATCTCTTTACTTTTGAGTCAAGACTATCTCGAGGATACGAGGAGTGGAGAAGCAACCGAGTCAATGATAATATTCCGATAGGCAATCAAGAGAATATCCAATCTATGGAAGAACACCTCAGGGTGATCCTGTCTCCACTCGAGCAAGCCAGGCTTGATTTTGAGGCAGAAAGGAAACAATGAAGAGTAACTTTGCAAAAGCTAGAAGATGAAGTGTATCAGAAAGGGCTGGAGATTGACATCCAAAAGAGTCGAGCTGATTGGATTGAAAAAGTGGAGAAACAACTTATATTGGATTTCAATGACCTCCATTTATCACACCAGTGAATGATTAAGGATCAGGCATCTGCTAGCTCTAGTAAGTCTTCTACTGAATGGAGGCAAGAAGTGGCAGGACTGAAAAGAGAAGTTGGGGAAAGCAGTGAAGAACTCAAACATAGCAGACATCAGGCAAAATTACTCTCGAGAGATAAAAATGCCCTTGAACAATAATTGTAAGAGAATCAGACCCAGAATGAGAAATTAAAGAATAGGGTCTTGAGCTTAGAGACTGCTTTACAACGATATCGAAGTCGAGAAAGTAGTGCACATGCTGAAGTGGAAAGATTGATGAAGCGTGCGAATGAACTCGAGGCCTTAGTTCAAGATTTGCAAAGAAGAGCAAATGAACTTCCATTGGTCCCTTATGAAGGAGTTATGCAATGGCGCTATCGTTGGGAGCAGGCTCAGTGGAGAGTTAAGCAAAGGGATGATCTCATTGCAAGATACCTACAGCAAGCTCAAGGACTGGCTCATCACTTGGTTGACCTGTTACAGGAAGCTGATGATGTGATTGAAGAACTGGATCCAAAGGCAGAAGAAAACCAGAAGATTGTGGAATTACTGGGACATATTCAACAATTAGGAGAGATAGCTTTGTTGTATCTGTGATCTATTTAATCATTTTAATTGAGCTTTGTTTCCTATATAAAAAGTTGTTCTAAGGAATCGTCCCAGAATCAACACCTTGTATTGCATCTACATTGTATTTCCTTTTATGAATAACATTATAATCACATTTTTCACACCTCAGTAATAAAACACCATGATTAATAAAAAGATTATGTGGCAGAATACTGGACAAATATAAGCATCCGTACAACACACGGAAAAAGGCAATGGATGATAGAATTGTCAATATAGAGAAGGTTCAAGCTGAAATGCAAGAGAATTTAAAAAAAGTGCAAGAGGATATGCGAGAACAGATAATGAAGGCTCAAGACGACATGATGGTAAAATTGGTTAGTTTGCTACAGGGAAATAATATGGTCCAATGAGAGGCTCCAGTTATCAGTCCTGCGCTGAGGAACCATTATATCCCCCTGGCTTTACACCACCGCATGTCCCGCACAGCAAGCCACGACCGTCCAACCGAAAAAAATACAAGTGAACCTAACGGGCTCTTCGACAAACCGCAACCAATTGAAGATGTTCATGATTTAGATGAGGAAGACAAAAAAGAATAGGATAAGGAGATTAAGAAAGAATAGGAACAAATGAAGCATGAGTTCCGAGCTATGAAAGAAGATGCCAACCTATATGGAATCGACGCCAGAGAACTAAGTCTGGTCCCTGATTTAGTGTTGCCACCGAAGTTCAAAGTTCCAGATTTCGTGAAATTTGATGCCACCAGTTGTCCTTCTGCACACATTACCATGTTTTACAGAAAAATGACAGGCTATGTGGGAAATGATCAACTATTAATTCATTCTTTTCAAGAAAGCCTGGCAGGATCATCAATCCATTGGTACAATCAGCTAAGTCGGGCTCAAATTAAATCTTGGAAGGATTTGGCTAAGGCTTTTCTAGAGCAATATAAGCATGTAAAAGATGTGAGGCCGAACCGAATTTTTTTACAGAGTATGAAAAAAAAGATCTAACAAGAGCTTCAGGCAATATGCCCAAAGGTGGAGAGATATGACTGTGCAAGTTCATCCACCATTAGAGGAGAAAGAAACCAATATGTTTTTTTATAAATACTCTGAGGGCCTCGTTCTTTGGACATCTCATTGGAAATTCGTCCAAGAATTTTGTTGACATACTTAATGCAGGAGAAATGATCGAGATGGCGGTCAAAAGTGGGAAGCTAGACGGGGGAGAATCTAACCGAAAGCCTCCAGAAAAAAAGATAATGAGGTCAGTAATGTGAAGAAATATAATTCTAATAACATTACAGTATCTCGACAACCGACAACTGCATCGTTAGCATTAAATCCTGTCCAGCAAGGAGTGAAAGAACCAAGACAGGAAAGGGAAAGTGTTCAATTTGACCCTATCCCCATGACCTATAAAGAATTATTCCAGATCATGTATGACAAACATGTGGTGTCACCTTACCACACTTCTCCAATACAACCTCCTTACCCAAAATGGTTTGACATCAATGCTCAATGTGAGTATCATGCTGGGGCATCGGGGCATTCAATTGAAAACTGTCTGGCCTTTAAAAAGTTGGTGTAGAGATTAAGACAAAGAAATATTATCAACTTCGGTGACAGTGAGCAACCTAATGTGGCTCAGAACCCACTGTCGAACCATGCAGGAACAGGGGTTAATGTTGTTATTGAAGGAAAAGGGAATGATGTCATAACCAAAGTCAATGAAGTAAAGGCACCCATGCATTGGGTATGGGGGCAAATGGTCAAAGTAGGCTGGTTGACCTTTAATGCTAACGGGAATAAGCATGCTTGCCCCTATCACCATTGCGAGGATCATGTCATTCAAAACTGTGATGAGTTCAAGGCCTTGGTTCAAAGGCTGATGGATAGTAAAGACATGGAATTTTACCATGAGGCTACGAAAGAGAAAGAGATTGAGATTTGTGCTTCCGAAGACACATCCAAGGGAGTTTACAATACTAACTACCCTTTAGTCATCACACCGAAAGCTCATACTATAGAAAGGTTAATCCCAAAAGTGATGATCATGCATCCGTCGTCCTTTCCATATAAAGACAACAAGCATGTCCCTTGGAGGTATGAATGCCAAATAGAGAATGTTGAGAGTTCAGAAGCTGCTAAGAAAGAGGTGGATGAGGTATGCCACTTCACCAAAAGTGGGAGATGTTATTCTCCTAACCAAACCAATGAACCTGAGAAAATAGCGGCCCCTAATAAAGGAAAAATGGTCGAGATAATGATGAAAGATGATGAGTCAACAATTAATGAGCCGGTAATAGAGAACGAGGCTGTAGAGTTTTTAAAATTTTTGAAGCATAGCGAGTACAGCATCATCGAGCAACTACACAAGTTGCCAGCTCGCATCTCAATCCTTTCTCTACTATTAAGCTTTGAGGCACATCGAAATGCATTGCTGAAAGTTTTGAATCATACTTTCGTACCAAAAGATGTGCCTGTTGAAAAGATAGATCGACTGGTTGCAAATATTCAGGCGGATAATTTCATCTCTTTCTCTGATGACGAGATCCCATCCAGAATGATGGGCAATCCTAAAGCCCTGCACATTACCATCATGTGCAAGGGACATGTGTTATCGCGAGTACTAATTGAAAATGGCTCTGCCCTGAATGTGATGCCATTAGTGACATTGAAGAAACTGTCGGTTGATAGTACACAGATGAGAAATTGCCAAAGTATCGTTCGAGCTTTTGACGGAACAAAGAAGGAGGTGTTGGGGAAGATCGATATTCCTTTAACCATAGGCCCATCAACCTACGAGGTCGAATTTCTTATAATGGATATAATGCCTTCCTATAACTGCTTGTTAGGAAGGCCTTGGATCCATCAGGCATGAGCTGTGCCATCCACTTTGCATCAGAAACTTAAATTTGTAATTGAGGGGAGACTGGTATGCCTTAATGCTGAGGAAGATATCATTGCTTCCATATCTACTATCGCTCCATATGTCGAAATAGATGAAGATGCGGTCGAGTGCTCTTTCAGAGCCTTAGAATTCATTAATGCCACCTTTATTGCCGAAAGAAAGAAAATTCTAAAGCCTAGGCTATCCAATTGTACCAAAATGGAACTGAAAATGATTATGGGAAGAGAAGCCAAGGTTGGAAGAGGGCTGGGAAGCCGCCTACAGGGAAATATTAGTCCAGTTTTTCTTGGTACTAAGCGAGATCGTTTTGGTCTGGGATATCGACCGACCTTAAAGGAAAAGTTAAAAAATCTTCAAAAGAGCCAGGAAAGGAGGAAAACCAGGTTAGTCGGGGAAGATATTAAGTGGGAACCCATGAATTTCCCATTTTTGCGTGACACCTTCATATCTAGGGGCCATATGTTTCAGGGGGTCGATAATCAAAAGAGTCTGTTATTGAAAATACTCTGAAGGATTTGGGCATAAATGTGATATCAGAGGAAGGAATCAAAGACGGAAGGACTATGGGTATCTACCCCACACCACCAAGCTTTGTGCTAAACAATTGGACAGCAGAAGAATTACCTGTAGTTTACAAAACTATTTCAGAGTAATGCACAAAAACTTTCCCTATTGTCTAAACTCTGAGGCAATAGGTGATCTCTTGTAAGGGGTTAATCTATCTGCTTTTTATTTTAATAAATGATGCATTCCTGTTAATTCACGAAATGGCAAACATCATCCCTTGTATTTTTTTCACGTTATTTATTATATATTATTATTTCATTTTATTTTGATATGGGATAGATCCTCCTGTATTTGTATATATATATATCTTCTCGTTCATTATTCTTTCAGGACCTCCGGTATCAATAGTATGAGTGCTGATGACTCTGACCCGAAGATAGATTTCGAGCTGCCCATATGTCAAGGGGAAATTGAAGGTTATGATAATGATGAGGGAAGTGACTTACCTTTTGAACTACTAAAAATGGTAGAGAGAGAAGATAAACAAATTATGCCTCATGAAGAGCCCTTTGAGATCTTGAATTTAGGATCAGAGGAGGATAAAAATGAGATAAAGATTGGCATCATCATATCTGCTGAGGGACGACAAAGTCTGATTCAGTTACTTCGAGAGCACAGAGATGTGTTCGTTTGGTCGTATGAGGACATGCCAGGGTTAGATACTGAATTAGTGGTACATAAATTGCCAATAAATCCCGAATATAAACCGGTACAACAAAAGCTCAGAAGAATACGACCCGAAATGCTGCTTAAAATTAAAGAAGAAGTAAAAAAAGTAATTCAATGCTGGATTCCTGAAAGTAGCCAAGTATCCGGAATGAGTAGCAAACGTTGTTCCAGTACCAAATAAAGATGGGAAAGTTCGTATGTGTGTCGACTACAGAGATCTTAATCGAGCCAGTCCAAAAGATAATTTCCCTCTGCCACACATAGACACCCTGGTAGATAATACAACTAGAAACTTTCTATTTTCATTTATGGACGGTTTTCAGGATACAATCAAATAAAGATGCATCCAAATGATATGGAAAAGACTATGTTTGTCACCATGTGGGGCACGTTATGTTACAAGGTGATGTTGTTTAGGCTAAAGAATGCAGGGGCAACCTATCAAAGGGCCATGGTAACACTATTCCACGACATGATGCATAAGGAAATAGAGGTCTATGTCGATGATATGATTGTTAAAGCTAAAACAGAGGAAGAACACATCGAGAATCTGAGGAAACTTTTCCAAAGATTAAGGAGCTACCAGTTAAAACTCAATCCAAGAAAGTGTACCTTCGGGGTAACATCAGGAAAACTCTTGGGGTTTGTAGTAAGCAAAAAAAGGATTGAAGTAGATCCTGACAAGGTCAAAGCTATTCAGGATTTACCACCCCCACAAACACAAAAAGAAGTTCGAGGATTTCTAGGAAGATTAAAAAAACATTGCCCGATTTATTTCGTAATTAACTGATAAGTACGATCCCATTTTTCGCCTTCTTCGTAAAAATAACCCAGGGGTATGGAATGATGATTGCCAGGGAGCTTTTGAAGTAATAAAAGGATATTTTTCGAATGCTCCAGTATTAATTCCACCAATATACGGAAAACCATTAATCTTCTACTTATCAATCTTTGAGAATTCAATGGGGTGCGTATTAGGGCAGCATGATAAAACTGAGAAAAGAGAAAGAGCAATTTACTACCTCAGCAAAAAGTTTACTGATTGCGAGACAAGGTACTCACCAATAGAAAAGTTGTGTTGTGCTTTAGTTTGGACTACCCGAAGGCTCAGACAATATATGTTGTATCACTCTACTTGGCTCATATCTAAACTTGATCCTCTAAAATATCTAATGGGTGTACCTGCTTTATCTGGAAGATTGGCTCGTTGGAAAATCTTATTGTCGGAATTTGATATCTAATATGTAAGCCAAAAAGCAGTTAAAGGAAGTGATGTGGTCGATTTCATTGCAAGTAGGGTTTCTGAAGAGTATGAACCACTGAACTTCGATTTTCTAGACGAAGATTTAATGGTTATTTCAACAGAGGAGGTAGTTTCCTTTACTAATGAATAGTGGAAAATGAATTTCGATGGTTCCTCTAATGCTTTAGGGCACGAGATTGGGGTAATTCCCGTCTCACCTTGTGGAAAACACTATCCTTTCACTAGCCGATTGAATTTTGATTGCACAAATAACATAACCGAGTATGAAGCATGTATTCTGGGTCTTAAAGTTGCCATTGAGCTTAAAGTGAAAATACTCGAAGTATACGGAGATTCAGCCCTGGTAATTTATCAACTCAGAGGTGAATGGGAAAAAAAGGATACGAAGTTGGTGGAATACCGTATATTGATCCTAGATCTCATTAAAAAATTCGAGAGAGTGACATTCCATTACCTTCCCAGAGAAGATAATCAAATGGCGGATGTTCTGGCCACTTTGGCAGCAGCTTTCAAAGTCAATGAATATTCAAGCATGATGCCTATTACGATAGAAGCTTACGGGTATCCAGCCCATTGCTATAGCATAGAAGAGGAAGAGGATGGAAATCCTTGGTATTACGACATCCTGCGATACATTAAATATCAAAGCTACCCTGAGCATGCCACTGAGAATGATAAAAGAACTGTTCGAAGAATCGTGGTAGGGTATGTGCTTGATGGTGATATCTTGTATAAGAAGAGTCATGATCAGGTCTTATTGCGATGTGTGGATGCCAAAGAAGCCAGAATAATTATTGAAGAAGTGCATGAAGGAGTATGTGGTACTCATGCTAATAGACACACAATGGCTAAACAAATAATGAGATTTGGATATTATTGGTCAACCCTGGAAACTGATTGTATCAATTTCTCCAGAAAATGTCACAAATGCCATATTTATGGAGATAAGCTCCACACCCCTCCTCATCCATTACACGTAATGACTACTCCATGGCCATTCTCTATGTGGGGCATGGATGTCATTGGACAAATTTCACCCATAGCTTCTAATGGCCATCGTTTCATATTTATGGCAATAGACTATTTCACTAAGTGGGTAGAAGCGGCTTCCTATGCAAATGTCACTCAGTCAACAGTTTGCAAGTTCCTGAAGAGAGAAATTATTTGTCGGTATAGGCTACCAGAAAAGATCATCACTGACAATGCCTTGAATTTAAATAATAAGATGATGGAGTCAGTATGTAAATAGTTCCATATTAAACATCATAATTCCACCACTTATCGCCCAAAGATGAATGGAGCGGTAGAGGCAGCCAATAAGAACATCAAGAGGCTCATACAGAAAATGACTGAGACTTATAGAGACTGGCATGAGAAGCTACCATTCGCTCTGTTTTCCTATCGAACTTCAGTGAGGACGTCTACTGGGGCAACTTTATTTTCTTTAGTCTATGGGATGGAGGTTGTGTTACCCATCTAGGTTGAGATTCCGTCACTACGAGTGCTGTCAGAGGTTAAGTCAGATGAAGCAGAATGGGTGCATGCTAGGTATGATCAATTGAACCTGATTGAGGAAAAAAGATTAAAAGCTATCTGTCATGGGAAAATGTACCAGAAACGTATAATAAGGGAACATAATAAAAAGGTTCATCCACGAGAGTTTCAAGAAGGAGACTTGGTGCTAAGAAAGATTTTGTCAATTCAGAAAGACTTTCGAGGAAAATGGATGCCAAATTGGGAAGGACCTTATGTGATAAAGAAGGCCTTTTCTGGAGGAGCTTTGATCCTCACCGAGATGGATGGACCAGAGTTACCTAAGCCTATGAATGCTGATGTAGTCAAGAAATATTTCGCCTGAAAAAAATGAAAAAGAAAAATGAAAAATGAAAGAAAAAGGAAAAAATGAGAAAAAAAAGAAAAAATAAAAGGAGGATTCAAGATGAAAATCCGTAAAGGGCGTATTGAAACCAGAAAATGTCTCAGGTTGAAAACCGTAAAGGGCAGCTTGAGAATTGTGTAAATTCAGAATTCGTGCATGGTAGAGCTGAATTAGTTGGGTAACCAGAAAGTAAATGAGATTCAAACACTGGCCTATGGAGTTCGATAGTCGGGAATTTGGTAGTACAGGGGGAACTTCACACCCTTACACATTACCATAGTCCTCAATATCCCCTTGACAGAAGCTACACTCGGGTCCTCTTACGGCGTGCCAGTTCAAAAGCATTCATACTATTGATGTCTGATGACGCCTACTGTATTTCCTTTTGGTTATTTCAGTTAAAAGTTTGTCATTTATTCATCCAAAAACTCTTTATTTATAAATAAAAAGATGTTTTTATCCGCGTTGCAAGAATCCTGATTAAAAATAAAAACATGTAGATTAGCTCGGGAAACTTGAGATCATTGTGCATAATTTTACAAAAACTTTTGGAAAATACAGATATTCTGAAGCTGAAAATGGTTTTAGCATAAGGCTTACACAATGTCAGGCCACAAGAAGTTAAAGCCTTGAGATACACGCGAATGCTCAACAATGTGGGATAACCCAAGAGGTTTTATCACCGATCAAATATCGAGTCATGAGAAGCATATGGGTTCAAAAAGAATCAAAGTCAGGCTCAACCAAAGAGTGTCCAACCAGGGTTATCGATCGAGATGAACTGTTGATTTTTTGTGTGTGCCCAAATCAAACTGAATTACAAGGTCGTTAACAAAAGAAAATTCTCGTTTGAAAAGAAAATACCTTAAAAATAAATGCATCATTGCACACATTTTAGGCATAAACAGGATCATGACATAAAATGCATAATGATGTGTGATTGCAGGTTCTCTTAAAAAGGACAAAGATGTAAGGACCCAATATAGAAATCACCAATTCGAATTCCATGTTTGGTCGTGGCGAGACAGTCTTCCACAAAAGAAATCTCTTCCAAAAATTATTATCCTAAGACTTTCAGGTATGTTGTTTTCAAATCCTCAAACATATACTAATAAAGGTTAATATTTAATTTTCAGGTTTGATCCCAATTCAATGGATCAACTTCTCTAGATTTGATATTCCCTTCAGAGTAAGTGGAATATGTCTCTCTTCTTCAAGATTTGATATTCCCTTCAGAGTAAGCGGAACAAGTCTCTTCTCCAAGATTTGATAGTCCCTTCAGAGTAAGTGGAACAAGTCTGCTTCGATTCAATGGATCAACTCCCCCATATCTGATATTCCCTTGGGAGTAAGTGGAACAGGTCTCTCTTCTTCAAGATTTGATATTCCCTTCAGAGTAAGTGGAACAAGTCTGCTTCGATTCAATGGATCAACTCCCCCAGATCTGATATTCCCTTCAGAGTAAGTGGAACATGTCTCTTCTTCAAGATTTGATATTCCCCTCAGAATAAGTGGAACAAGTCTCTTCTCCAAGATTTGATATTCCCTTCAGAGTAAGTGGAACAAGTCTACTTCGATTCAATGGATTAACTTCCCCAGATCTGATATTCCCTTCGGAGTAAGTGGAACATGTCTCTTTTCTTCAAGATTTGATATTCCCTTCAGAGTAAGCGGAACAGATCTCTCTTCTCCAAGATTTGATATTCCCTTCGTAGTAAGCGAAACAAGTCTTTCTTCTTCAAGATTTGATATACCCTTCAGCAAAAGTGGAACAAATCCCTTTCATTCAAGATTTGATATTCCCTGAGTGGCAGTGGAACAAGTCTACCCAGATTCAATTTTCCTGAATAACAGTGGAATAAATCAACATACTCAGATCTGATATTTCCTGAGTGATAGCGAAACAAATCCCTTATCATATTTCAAACTATGAAGTTGACAAAGCGAAAAATGCATTGTCTCTTCGTCTTTGCCCTATTCTTGTTGACACAAGAATGGGCAAAGAGGGGCAGCTGTAGACACCTCATTTTTCCACCAT